TCCTTGATCATTTCGTCCAAGAAGAGGAGTTCCTCTAATTCTCTGAATTTTTCTAGAAGACTCTTTTCTTGAATATTATTCAAGACAATTTGGGATTGCCCAGTATTCCACCAATTAGTAACCCAAGATTCCAGACATTTATTAACTGAGAAAGAAATCCACCAGGGCAAAAATACTATAGATGCAAGATAGAAAAGAGGAGTGAATGCTTTCTTTTTTGCCATTTTTTCGTCTGTAAATTGTTAATCAACCCATTCGTACACTCTATGCGATCGAATATTTCTTACACACATGAGTTTTATACAAGGTATCGAACTTATGAATCTATTTTCTTTGTGATTTTGTGGTTAGTCTTTGAATCTAGAAAGAATACAGAAATAGGCTAAGAATTCACTTCGAATGAAGAAATTTAGAATATTGTTTCCTGATATCTCAATTGGTCAAATTAAAAATAAAGTGTATCCTTTCGATGAATGATCGAAAGAACCACTTTAAGTAATGAATATTATTCAGATTTTGAGACGAAAGAACTCCTTTGCTATCAAAATATCCAATATTTCGAAAAAATTTCACTGATTACCCATAGTCAGGAATAGAATAATTGAGGGAAAGATATTAGGATGATCAAAAAAAAATGACTGGCAAGGGATAAATTGGCTAGTTCTCAGTATTTAATTAAGAAATCCAATTGTTGGTCATTAAAGAATACAAAAGAAAGAATTTCAAATTTACAAGATACGATCTATCTGGATCTAAAGTGTCAATTCCAACAAATATTGAACTAAAAAAAATTCTTGCTTTCGAAATGGTTTGCCGTCTGAGATGAATCTATTATTTCGATTTGTTATTTGTTATTGAATTGCGTGCGCATAAAGACCATAAAACGCATAAAGACCATAAAAAGAGTTTCGTTTTATGGTTCTTTCATATACGTTTTCTTTAATTGAATGAACGTTCTGATTCTCAATTTATCAAAATACTTCAATTGGTACACGCAAGAAATAGGCTAATTCAGCAGCCTTTTGTTCAATTTCTCGTGGAGTCAAATTCTCATCAGTACGGGTCAAGGGAATGGACCCCTGGCCTCGGATGTCCATATAAAGAACACGACGAGCATAAATACCCTCTTTAACTTCTATTCTAACGGACTGAATATCTTTTATAAGGAATCGGAGGAATATGCGACGATTTTTTCCCGGAAATCCCCAACGAAAAATACAGACTATTCCTTCCTTTCTATCGAATCGATCATAACCACTACCTACATTCCAGGAAATTGTGCACCACAAATAAGAGCTAATAAAGAGACCCGCAATTCCGTAGAAAGACATCACGATTCCTTGTGGAAAAAAAATGATTTGCTGAGGCGGAAAAAAAGATAGCAAATTTCTACCAAGATAACTGGAAGTTCCAACTAATAAGAAGCCTAATGAACCTAAAAAAAGGATCAAGGCCCAGCAGAAATTACTTATTTTTCGAGACCCCGTTATAAGTTCTATCCATATATCGTCTGATCGCCAAGTCATACTTTACTCGATTGCATTTTATTGGAATTGAGATAATACCCCAGAGAAATTTGACTTTACTTTTTTGTTTCCGAAGTAACTCTCATCAACTAGCACTAGTTTGAGGTGAACTAGCACTAGTTTGATGTCAACCTTTAGGAGTAATTCATCAAATTGGTTAAATCTAAAATAATAACATACTCTTTATTTAATACGATCCCACTATACATATCGATATACATATAGATTCACCGACTACATTTCAGCCATCCAGAGATCCTGATCTATTTGAAAATTGCTAGAATTGATATATCCATATATCATGTTTCTGCGGGCATAAGAGTTTTTTCCTTTATGTTCGGTGGAAATCACATGTTATACTATATTCCAATAAATAGATATCCGTGTTATGATACAAGTCCACGTTTTCAAAAAAAAAATGGATGAGATTGGGTCCCAGCGGATCTAAACAATCTTGTTTTTTTGAACATGAAGAAATAAAGAAGCCATTGCAATTGCCGGAAAGACTAGGCCTACTAACGGCACAAAAATAGATGGAAGGTTCAAATTTGTCATAGAAGGGGTACCTCGATTTACTATTTGTATCTGTTATTATGTTATTATATAAATAAAGATATCTTGTAATAATTATAATTAAATTAAGAATTTGAATTCTAATTAGATAATATTTATTATTAATAGAATTTGAAGAATTTAAAATTCTTAGTATAGATCGAAGTATCGATATATCTAAATCTAACTGAGTACGTATAATAAGAATAAGTGCAAAGAATGTAGAACTGTAGAACTAAATAAATGGACTTATTCATCTCCTCCATGAGAAAGATATGTATGATAATGATAATAAACTTTATTATTTTTCTTCATTTCTTTGTCTTTTGTTCTTGTCTTCTAATTTTCTAAAAATAGATAAAGAGTTTTTTACCGATTATCGAAGGATTCGTTCGAATCCGACCCAACATGGATTTTTAGCTAAAATGGTTTTTCGGTAGATAGAGAAAGATACAAAACTCTATTATCTATATTGAAATTTCAAATTATATACCTAAGACAAGACCAAATTCGTTTTATTTTACTAATTTCACGAACGGAAGAACTCACTCTTGGTGATAAAGTGATAAAGGTTTCTTGATTCGTAATCAGGAATATAGGTCAAAAAAAGAGTTATCCTCAACTTTCGTTTTGATTCTTTCTACAATTCGATCTTCTATCACCAAAGAAAAGGCCATTATTATCTTATTTACTTTGATTCCGATAAACTAACTACTTTTTGCTACAAACACAAAAAAAATAATTGAACTTAGTGCTCTACTTGATTTTGCTTGACTTTTGATTCAAAGGAAAAAAGGCGTGGAGCTTAAATAACTCACTCAGAACGCTTTTTAAAAGATTACGTGGTACAATTAGGTCGAATAAACCCTTCTGGAATAAGTATTCAGCTGCTTGTGAACCTTCGGGTACTGTTTTATTCAATGTTTGTTCAATTACTCTTTTACCTGCAAATGCAATGTAGGCATTGGGTTCGGCAATAATGATATCCCCCAACATACCAAAACTAGCTGTCACTCCACCAGTTGTCGGAGATGTAAGGATTGATACATAAAATAATTTTTTATTTAATTGATAATCATATAAAGCAGACGATATTTTAGCCATTTGCATCAAGCTCAAACTTCCTTCCTGCATGCGCGCCCCCCCAGAAGCACACACTATAATAAGAGGTAAATTTTGATTGGCAGCGTGTTCAATCAAACGGGTGATTTTCTCTCCGACTACGGATCCCATACTACCCCCCATAAACTGAAAATCCATAACCCCAATTGCTACGGGAATGCCGTTTAGTTGGCCTATGCCTGTTTGAACAGCCTCGGTTAATCCTGTCTTTCTTTGATAAGAATCAATACGATCTTTATAAGGCTCCTCCTCCGAATGAAATTCAATGGGATCCAGCGAGACCATGTCTTCATCCATAGGATCCCAAGTACCCGGATCGATCAAAAGTTCAATTCTATCCGAACTACTCATTTTCAAATGATATCCACATTGTTCACAAATATTCATTTTTGATTTCAAAAATTTCTTATAATTTAATCCATAACAATTTTCGCATTGAACCCACAAATGCTTGTATTTTTGAGTTACCTCGAGATCATTAGAACTTTCTCTTATAGTTAAATCACTGCCCTTTGTGCGAGTTCGTCTACTGGAACCCTCGTTTTCACTACTATTTAGACTTTCACCACTACAAATGGCCCTATAAATGTAACTGTCACCGTAACTCTCACTACCACTTATAATGGAAGTATCTATACAGATTTGAGACTGAAGATAATTATCAATGCAACTATTAATGTGATTATTCCAACTATATTGAGTATCATACATGTAAGACATGTAAGAATTATAGTAGGGATCTTCGCCCCTAAATCCATTATTCAGATAACTCGAGTTTCGATAACTAGAAAAAGAACTTTCTAGTTCACTCAGAAAAGAATGATCGTTGTCAACCTCAAAAATCTGATTTTCAATATCAAAATAGATGGAATAACTGTCTCCATTCCTATCACTAACTAAAAAAGTGTCATCAGAGATGAAATTCCAAATGTCTTTAACGCCGAATAAATAATCAACATTACTGCAACTATGAATGTTTTTCATTTTTCGATTTGGATCTTCACTGGTATTTTCAATAGGACCAAGACTGCCCATTGATTTATTTAGCCCACACCTGCGTTCGAACTCCTTCTTAAACAACATCGAATTAAACCACCATCTTTCCATAGAGTTTTCTTGCCCCCTATTTGCATGAAAATACAATAGATGAATAGTCATTCGCTATAAAATTATTTATTTGAATATCTTATTTCCTATCAGACTAAGCATAGAAATCCAATCACTAGGATTATTAACTAATACGGATTGTGAGTATTCAAAAAAAGTTCTGAATCTGGGGGAACACTTCACTATATATTAATATGTTGGAACCCCCTTTTATTATTAAAAATAATAGAATTTTTGATAAAGGGCGGCTTCTCCTATGTCGTGTCAAATTCGCATCGAAAAAAAGAGATTTGTCCTCTCCTATAAAGAAATAAAAAAAAATTCGTAAAATCTCGTCTAATACTAATATCTAATCACTAACTAATCTAACAATCTAAAATCTAATAATAAGTAATAAATTAAGGTTCTATTTCAACACGGAACAAAGGGGACAATATACAGGCTGGGTAGAAAGAGTTGTAATACTTGGCTTGATTCAGGGAAACTACAAACTACAGGATAGAAAAGAATATACCAATCCTAAGGATCCGTAGGATTAATTGTGGATCCAAGACAACAATAGAAAGATTTGAGTCTTAGATTTTGATTTAGTTTTCTAGATTTTGTATTTCAAATCTTGATCAAAATATATGCAATAGAATCTTAGTTGTATTCGGCTCAATCCTTTTAGTAAAAGATTGGGCCGAGTTTAATTGTAATGTAATTCAATTAAGAGAACGAAGGATAATTACTTGAGTTCTTTCTCCTTATCCTTCTTTATTTCCTGCTAATTTATCTGCTAATGTCTACTGTTTTTACTTATCCAAAACGTCCATTGCTGCAAAATTAAATACGATCTCTTTCCATACCTCACAAGCAGCAGCTAGTTCCGGGCTCCATTTGGCAGCCTCGCGAATAATCTCATTACCTTCCCGAGCAAGATCACGTCCTTCATTACGAGCTTTTACACATGCTTCTAGAGCTACTCGATTAGCTACGGCACCTGGCGCATTACCCCAAGGATGTCCTAAAGTTCCTCCACCGAACTGTAGTACGGAATCATCCCCAAAGATCTCGGTCAGAGCAGGCATATGCCAAACGTGAATACCTCCTGAAGCCACAGGTAGAACACCTGGTAAAGAGACCCAATCTTGAGTGAAATAAATACCGCGACTTCTATCTTGTTCAATAAAATCATCACGCAGTAAATCAACAAAGCCCAAAGTTATGTCTCTTTCACCTTCAAGTTTAACTACTACGATACAGAGTGA